TTTTAATTTTTTTTTTTTTTTTTTTACAGCATTTCCCAGCTGATAACATTTGCATGAGAGAACGTATTTCTCAGCAGGAAATAGCACAGGGTATAAATTGACATAAAAGGGACACCGGGAAGCTGCGGAAGGCCTGTGACTGAATTACAGAATTTCTCTGAACTGAATAATATGGACTCCACTTATCCTACAGGTTTATTTCTTAACAACAAAAGAGTTAAAACCACCTCAATCAGTGGAAAAATATAAAGGATTTTTAAATAATGAAAAATACTGTGCCCTTCTCGGAGACATCCGACCCTTTTCTTTGCCTCTTCCCGTGGTTCCCAGGCGTCTATGGCAGTGAACGAGGGCCAGAGGATGCCGCAGAGCAGAGTAGCCTTTGGAGGCGAATCAGTCCTTAAATCCCTGTCTCTGGCACCGACACGGGGCTCAGGAAAGTCTCAGCTTGCCACGGCCCTACCTATAAACCTGGAGGGTTTCGTCATCTCTGAAGAAACGAGGTTTCCTAGTGGCGACTGTCCGCTCCGTCATCCACCACCCGCTGCATTGACTCAACGAGGAGCCTGAGCTCTCCTTCTGTTAGCATACCCAAATTAAATGTTTGGGTTTAAATCACACAGTAAATCCCATGCTGCTTAAAAGATATTAAAAACCCTTCGAGTGTTTTGATTCTTTCTTCTGCTTCCCTCGCTCGAGGAATAAAACGCACAATGAAGAAAGAAAATTCCTACATAATTCATTTCAAAGTGTAGACAACTGTTCAATCCGGACGAAACAGAGCACGTCCCGCTTTCCCCAAGGGCGACTGAGGAGGAAGAATGTGGAGCCTGACCCTCCGGGGTTGGGGTAGGTGTTGGGGACGGGTACCAGCTGTCTTTTGCTGGGGCGCCCGAAGCGCCGACTCCTCAGAGTCGTTAAGTGGTCCCATTCATTGGCCGGAAGAAGCAGATTTCTCTTTGTCTCTTGATGGCAGGCATTTCCACTTTCCTCTCCCATTCTACTGTAGTAAAACCTAGGTAATGTTAAAGAACTAACCACGAATACGTCTGTGCAGTTTACAGAAGGCTGCAGATCTTCACATTCTCACACTATATATGCACACGTATTTTCAAAACTATCTACCCGCTTACCCTAAATTTTCGTAAAGCACATTTAAGTATTATCTTCATGAAAGCGTCTACCTGTGCAACAGTTGCTTGGTCTTGTGGCACTTCAGTTTAGACCTCACATAGCCAGATCCCAGATAAAGAAACTAGATGGATTATATAGTGCCTAAATGCACTCTATAATAAGAAAATAAAAGTAATAACTACAAAAATAATAATGAATACTCTGCATCTGGTATTACTGCATTTGTACTGCTGATACCAGAGCATTCATTTGTAACAAAGCAATCTGAAATACTGTCCGCTTGAAAGTTCCTACAGTCTGGAAACTAGAATTTAAAGTCTTTCAGACAACTTTGAGGTGACATGCGTAGCCAGGGATTTCACGGGTTTTGTTACAATCCCCAGGATTCTGGTACGCAGAGGACAGTTTCGTTAGGCAAACCAATCAGAGGGGAGAAAAAAGAGTGAGCTTATTATTGACTCAGATTTAGAGAAGCTGAACTCGATGAATACCAAGTGCACATATATGTTACCCCACATCTCTCTCTTCCTTATTCTGAAGGACAAAGAAAGGGCAATCTGTGGGCACGTTGGAAGCCACTTCTCTTGCTCCGGTCACACAGGGCTCATCATTAAGGCCATATCCACCCCTATGGAGTGCACAAAATAGCCCCAGGAAAGTCAAGAAGCCAGCAGCTTGCATAAGATTTTAAGACCAAAAAGCAGCCAGGAACTCCACTAAAACCAGAAGAAAAATAATAATAAAATAAATAAATAAAAATAAAAAAAAAAAGAGAAAAGGCAAAAAAAAAAAAAAAACACAACAAAACAGCCACAAAAAAAAAGCCCAACGGAAACAAGCAATGCAGCCCCACAGCAGAGAAACAACTTTGAGGCAGCAGTGCAGGAATAGCAGCAGCTCTTTAAAGAGCCATGCACCTTCTTCTAAAAATAGAAGGGAACTTAAAACTCCCCAGCCCTCATATAGAAGATACTGGATTCAGGCACTAGTGCCAGAAATGGAAGAAAATTAAAAACAATAGTCCACTTTGCAGTGAAATACAGCAGCTATCATCATGGTAGCATATCACATTAGGCAGCTTGATAAAAACATTGGTAACCCTGCCCTGCCTGAAATCCTTCACTAGTATGCTACAATTAACTGCTAGAGAAAACCAGTACCAAATCTCTTACACGATAGCGTTAATACACAATGGAAAACGGAAAATAACAAGTAAATTAAGGCAGGGAACATGTATCTTTTTGTTAAAGAATTGGTTCTGGGCCAGTCAGGACCAACCAACTTCCTCAGGGTTGGGGGGTTTGCCTGTACTTTGCACCATCAGAATTTGAAAATCACAAGTTGCCCAGAGTTGAATAGTAATCAACTACTGTTTGATAGTCTGCAACAGGACAAGAAAACAAAGTAGATTGATACAAAACATTTGATTTATATTGTCCACAATTAAATATTACAGAGAACATATGAAAAAAGCTAGAGCTTGCTTACTCCTTAGAAGGAGCAATGTTCACTTCACTACCATATACAAATGTAGCTACAGTAAGATTTCTCAAAACAAAAAAAAAGTACCCCTCCCCCCCAAACAGGAAGCAAATTTACAAGAATATTAATAAAACTAATACCCTCCACCACAGAAATTCAGGTAGTAGAGAGCCGCATAAATTAGGCCTGAAGAAAAAACAGCTTACATGCCTGTGACTACATTCATTAGGAAAAAAAAAAAATAAAACTGCAGTGATTCAACCTTTCACGACCATTGTGGGTGGCTCTGAAAAGAGCCTTTTTATCCATTTTGCTTCTTAGATAAGCTCACTTAGTTTTAGCTTTGTGGCTGTCAGTCTTCTTGGGCAGCAGCACGGCCTGGATGTTGGGCAGCACGCCACCCTGCGCGATCGTCACCTTGCCCAGCAGCTTGTTGAGCTCCTCGTCGTTGCGGATGGCGAGCTGCAGGTGCCGCGGGATGATGCGAGTCTTCTTGTTGTCGCGGGCCGCGTTGCCCGCCAGCTCCAGGATCTCGGCCGTCAGGTACTCCAGCACGGCTGCCAAGTACACCGGGGCGCCGGCGCCCACCCGCTCCGCGTAATTGCCCTTGCGCAGCAAGCGGTGGACGCGGCCCACGGGGAACTGCAGTCCGGCCCGCGACGAGCGTGACTTGGCTTTGGCACGCGCCTTCCCGCCCTGCTTCCCACGTCCAGTCATCTCTAAAGCAGCTCAGCAAAGACACTTCCAATACTTCTGACGAAATACGAACTCATTCCTAGCTATCTCCGCCAACGCATTTATGTATGGTTTGGTCGGAGCGGCAGCATCTTCTCTGATAGGCTGTGAAGAAGGATTATTTTTTGACAGCCAATGGCAATGAGGATCGAGAAGTGTCCAATAGCAGATTTCAGGTCGGTGTGACGACCTAATAGGCGCTTGCTGCCAATGGTGATGCGGCGCTATTGAGCCACTGCTGTGCCGGCACCGCTATAAAACAGGCAACAGCGACTTGTGGATTTATTTTCTCGTGTTTTGTCGTTAGTGTGGTGTTTTAGACGTGATTGTTTTTCAAGAATGCCTGATGCGGCTAAGTCTGCTCCTGCGCCTAAGAAAGGTTCCAAGAAGGCGGTGACCAAGACCCAGAAGAAAGGTGACAGGAAACGTCGCAAAAGCCGCAAAGAGAGTTATTCTATCTACGTATGCAAGGTGCTGAAGCAGGTGCACCCCGACACGGGCATCTCTTCCAAGGCCATGGGCATTATGAACTCCTTTGTCAACGACATTTTTGAGCGCATTGCCGGCGAGGCCTCGCGCCTGGCACACTACAACAAGCGCTCCACCATTACTTCCCGGGAGATCCAGACGGCCGTGCGGCTCCTGCTGCCAGGTGAGCTGGCCAAACACGCAGTCTCCGAAGGTACCAAGGCCGTTACTAAGTACACTAGCTCCAAATAAAGTGTCTGCTCTCTACGGGGACTAGGCAACCCAAAGGCTCTTTTAGGAGCCACTCGCTTTTTTCAGTAAAAGCTGGTTCTTTGACTTACTACATTCTGTGGGTTTTTCAGGAAGGGAATAATAGTAATGTTAAAATACTGTCTGTTTCAGTAAACCTAGATATAGGTAACCAATTCCCGTTAAACGATGTATTGTGTATTTGCTACAGGGGCAGATACTTCACGATTCCCAAAACAGCCCTAGAACCCACTTCACTTTGGGGTGGGGGAAGGGATTTGAATAGTGATCTGTGGAGATGTTCCCATTAATGTCCTATATAAGCGTGTTCTCGGTAGCCGGTGTTTTCTCTTCCCCCGTGAAACACTCTTAACAGGAAATTTGTGAGCTGGGAACATAGAAATCACATATGTCTGAGGGTGACCTTGTGATTTTGTTTCAGCAAAAAGCTTCAGGCTGGACCAGTTTTCCCGTAGCATTCTCGTGGAGGACAGAAAGCAAACCGAGGCGTTTTCAAGGCGTTCTTTTACTAGATCCGCACAGCCCTGCTTGCTGTACTGATCTCTGCTCCGGCTCTTCCTCCATTACCCCGGTTTTCCGGGCTCAGTAAATCCCCCAGCAGGGCAGGGGGCGGGCGCCACGACCCAGAACCTCGCAACTGCCGGGCTGGGTTGGACCTGAGTGAGAACTTTATGTAGCTCCGCAGCAAGCGCCCCCGACCGGGCCCTGAGCAGCTGCCGGAGGACGGGGATTGGTGTCGGTGGCGCTGCCGGCTCGGCGCCTGTCGTCGCTTCTCCAATACATGCTTCTCTGACGGGAGCCGACGCGTATTCCAGGGAGGCGGAGCAGCTGGGGAGCATTCGTTTTGCACCAAGCGACGACTGCCACCTGCACGGTTACCGAGAGGGAAGAAACAGAGAACTGGATCAGGGAAGAAAACTTTGTTGTGAAGGAGTCTTTCCCAGCAGTCGCCATGCTGAGAGGAGGCGGAGAGGGGGAAAAGGGGCGGTGAGGGGGATGGGATTCAGTAGAAGGCGAGTCTGAGGCACGAAGGGCGGGGCTGTGTGTGAGTCGTTGGGCTCTGTGTGGTTCGTTTCGGGGAAGCGCAGAGCAACTTTTGTGTTGGGGTGGTAAGAGTAGTCTTGGGTGGTCAGGCTCAGGGCACCGACCGGCAGCCTGCTTACTACAACACTAGATTCCCGGCCTCCCTCCACGATTTCCTTGAGCTCCAGGATTTATATTGCTGCAACTGCAGTCCTGAGCCTTGCGCACACGTAGGGCAATGAAGGAAGCTCCGGCCGGGGCAGGATGGGAGACTCCGGCAGAGCCCGCAGCCAACGGATTGCCCGGAGACCTCAGAGCACCTTCGTTCCGTGTGGCACTGGAGAGTCTGCATAGGCAGCCCGGCACTGTGCCTTTAAGCGGATCGGTCTCTCCCCTCAGGCTACACAAGGGGGAGATTATCTGGGAGGAGCGCACACACACCGTCCCTTCCGTCGTACTCATGCACACAGATTTGGCAGGGAAGCCACCTGTGGAAGTCTGACCCTGTCTGGATGCCAGGTACCCACCAAAGCCACTCTCATGCCCCTGCTCAGCTGGATGGGAGAGAGAAAATACCACAAAAGGCTCCTGGGTTGAGATAAAGATAGGAAGAGATAACTCACGAGTTAATGTCACATGCAAAACAGACTTTGCTTGGAGACATTAGTTTATTACTAAACAAATCAGAGTAGGATAATGAGAAATAAAACCAAATCTTAAGAACACCCCTCCCTTCTTCATAGGCTTAACTTCACTCCTGACTTCCCTACCTCCTCCCCTCCAAGAGCACAAGGGAATGGGAATTCCTCTCCTCAGGGGGAGGACTCCTCACACTCTTCCCCTGCTCCCGTGGGAGACTGTCCTTCATGAATTATTCCAAAGTCAGTCCTTTTGACTTCAGTTCTTCATGAAGTGTCCCAGTCCTCCAGGAACAGGCTACTCCAGCGTGGGTCCCCCACAGGGTCACAAGTCCTGCCAGCAAACCTGTTCCAGTGTGGGTTCCTCTTTCCACAGAGCCACAGGCACTGCCAAGAGCATCCTCCAGTGTGGGCTTCCCACGGGGCCACAGTCTCCTTTGGACATCCCCTCCTTTGGTGTGGGGTCCTCCACAGGCTGCAGGTGAGATCTGTTCCACTATAGACCTCCATGGGCTGCACATGATACCAGATTAAACTAGTATTCCATTGTGGATGGAGACACAGTCAAGGCTGAAAGGATTCTCGAGATAAGGAAGGCATGCAACAGAAGAACCAAATGTCTTCCTTCAAATAGATGAGGGCCTTCCTCTCTTCAATAAGGAGGAAGAGAAATAAGTAAATGGCTGCAAGAGAAAACTGCTAGAAGAGCCTCTTAGGTCATAAATTTGCCCAAACAAGAGCATGTAGTTAATTGGCGAGACTAAACAAGCACTCCCATGTCCTTATATAACAGATGTCCATAAAAGGGTAAAATGAGGTATTTCTCCCCAAGTGACCACCATGACCAGCAAAGACCATTCTTTGAATTCACAGTGCCTGGCCGTATCTACCCAAATTACTATATGCAATGAGAACTGGGTGGGAACTTCACAAATTATGATGAATATGTATATAATAAATGTATGTAAGCTGTAAACTGTCTCTTCTTGGTGTGCATGATAGGTGGAGTGATTCCCCCATGCACCCAATACCGCAATAAAGTCACATCAGTTTCCTAACCTGTTATTCTGGTTGGAGAGTTTATTTTACTGGATTTCAGTGGCACATGGGGACAGCCTGTCTCTCCATGGTCTGCACCACGGTCTATAGGGGAATCTTTGCTCTGGTGCCTTGGGCACCTCCTCCCCCTCTGCCTTGGTGTCTACAGAGCTGTTTCTCTCACATACTCTCACTCCTCTCCTGATGAAATTGCTTCTGCCCAGTAACTTTTTCCCCTTCTTAAATACTTTATCCCAGAGGTGCTGCCACCATTGTTGGCAGACTTGGGGTTGGGCATGGCCAGCAGTGCATTCACCTTGGAGCTGGCTGACACTGGCTCTGTGTATTCTCACCTGCTGCTGCTCTTCTCACAGAAGCCACCCCCACAGCCCCCTGCTACCAAAACCTTGCCACAGAAATCCAATACACCACTCTTCTCTTAGTTCCCCATTAGTTAGCACAAATTGATTTTCTGTGTTATTCTCATCTGTCCAAGAAGAGCTTCATATGGTCCCTTCAGAGTGGAATAGTTAACAACAATGGTGAGAATATCTTGGCATGAGGTGGGGATACAAGTTCCTTTTCTCAGTGGTGGGATGCAGTGCCTTCTCTCCTCAATCCTATGGCAACCATCACCAATATAAACAAATATTTTTCCAAACAACACAGCACTTGCATACTGTCTATGCTCTTCGAAAGCTGTATTATTTCAGGATTTTCTTTTTATTGAGTTGAAGAGGATCTAAATTAAACCCCTCTTCTCATTGGATTTTTTTTCAGACACGTGGCAACTCTCTGCAATTTATTGTCTGCCAGTGTCTTCTCCCTAATAGACACTGGTGTGTATTGCATATTGTCTGGGAGAGAAAGACAAGTGCCATGGAAAGAGATGATGAGAAACAGCTGGGATCAGCATTAGAAGATGTGGGGGGAAAAAAAAAAAATCTCAGGTACTATGAGTGAATTTTCCTGGGGAAGTTGCTAAGCAACCTTCCCTTGGCAGTCACAAGTGTAAGGAAATAAAAATATACAAGCCACAAAGGTTAGTTTGATGTCTTTCTAGATGTGAACTAAATTGTATAGGGAACTGAAAATGGGTAACCTGAACTCATTGCTGCGTGGGAGGGGTAGGGGTGGGGAGGATCTACCAACCCCCTGACAAAAGAAATGGGAAAGTATCTAAGACAAATAAAGGGATTTGTAAGTGTGAAAAGAGGGATTTTAGCACCCTTTTGCTCTTGAAAAGCCCCTTCTTTCCCACAGGAACAGCCCACAGAGATATCCAGCCAGCCTATCCCTCTCTTAACTTTTTGTTGTGATTTCAGTTCTTATGGAAGAGCCGATTCCCTGAAGGAAGACTGACATTTGGAAGGGAAGTTCTGGGTACCAGTTTTGTGCAACAGAAAATCCAACCCTGGGCCTGTAACGTAGAGCAAAAATGCTTTATTCATCACATGAACTGTGTACAGGCAGATTTTATTGCAGTCTGCTTGTAATTTTGTATTCAAACTCCTTTTCCATAAGGACAACATGCTCCTTGTTGCTAGAGCCCTTTTTCTCCCTTTTCCTTTGCTAGACTCGAAGGTGGCTTGCTCGAGAATTTCTCAAGATATTACCTTCCACCCACTGGTTTTAACCTCTTTGCTTAGGGGTTGAATTTAGGCTCAGGTGTTACTTTACATGCTGTACCTGCACGACCTCATCCCAGCCTCATCCCTGTGGACTTGTCCAATGATCCAGGGCTGTGGCTGTCAGTTGCTACAGCTCAAAATCGTGATTCAATGCCACAAATCAGGAATGAAGACATTTGATGAGGCAGGGAAGAGGTGGCCCAGTCACTGCTACATCCCTGCCCCACTCACCGTGTGTGGGTGCTGAGGGGCTGTGTCCCTGTTGGTGGCAGCATGGCCCTGCCTGCCCAGCTGTCCCTCTTGCCTCCCAGTTCACCTGCCCTTGCAAGGCAGGCCCCTCCTCCTGCTCCCCCCAAACTTTGTTGAACTTGTTTGTCCACCTAGGAATGTATTTCCTGGAGTTAAGTTAGACGTCATATAGATTCTCTCCCTTTACAAACACTTACTCATCTGTCCCCATCTAGTGTAGGTAAGAGGATTGATGTAAAAACTCACCCAGTTCCAAGCAGTTCATGAGATATCAGACTTCACAGACCACTTTTTCTACCTTAACATGCCATCACCTCATATACCTGATGGTGGAATAATATCAGGGCAGGCTCCCCATGATTTCCACAAAAATGACCTATTGCTGACTTAGAGTGACACAGCTGGATATTGTATCTACTTCCATGAATACTGGCTGCCAAGTATCATAGGTGCTGATAAGAGCGGCCTTTGGTCTGTTCTGTCCTTCCTTCATCTTTCCGTCTCCTGTCCTTTTGCCTGCTTACCTCAGCCATCTGAAAGTGCCTCCTGTTTGTTATTCCACTTGCTCCCAGGAAGTTGCTACATAGCAGCACTCTCCCATCCCCACTCTTCCATTTCTTTCTTGCAGCATGGAAGCGATGCCTGTCATTACTGAAGATGTAGCATCCACCTCTTTCCTGCCTCGTCAAATGTCCTCATTCCTGATTTGTGGCATTGAATCATGAGTTTGAGTTGTAGCAACTCAGCCAAAGGATGTGCTGAACATTGCTATGGTCGACCTACAGAGACAGAAGAAACTTGCGGTGGGTATTCTTAAGCACTAGAGAAGACAAATTATTTCTTTATCCAACAGATGATAGTTACCATCCTCACACCTTGCTTCAGTTGTCTGTGTGCAGTCAGGCAATAATAAAGAGATGGACAAAGGAGAGAGCTAGTGGCAGAGGTGACATAGTGATGCAAATGCATGACATCCTGAGGAGAGAAAGACGTCCCAAGGAAGGTGTGAATCAAAGCTGTGGGGCATTGACCACCTGCCTCAAATGTTTGTATGCTCGAGTGATAGTTGACAGTACCCTGCGGGGAAGTATATGCTGGTGGTGTCCTCACACTTTTCTCTGCAGTAGTCCTACTGACAGGCAGGGCAGCTGGGGTACTCTTGAGCCAGCTTAAGAGCAGGAATAATTAAAAATTAGGGGCGTCATAGGTATGTAAACTCCTTTTGTTGATCTCATTCTGTGAAAGAGGATCATGGTTTAAACCCAGCTGGCAACTAAGTCCCACACAGCTGCTCGCTCACTTTCCCCGTCCACCCCTGGGTGGGATGGGGAGAAGAACTGGAAAAAGGAAAAAAAAAAAGAGACATGAAAGCTCAGAAAACATAAGTGCTGCACAATACAATTGCTCACCACCCGCTGACCAATTCCCAGCCCAACCCAAGCAGCAATACAGCATTCCAGGTAACTCCCCCGAGTTTATATACTGGGCATGATGTGCTGTGGTATGGCATACCCCTTTGTCTAGTTTGGGTCAGGTGTCCTGTCTCTGCTTCCTCTTGGCTTCCCATACCCCTCTTCACTGGCAGAGCATGAGATTGAGAAAGTCCTTGATCAGAGTAAACATCACTTAGCAACAACTAAAACATTGGTGTGTTATCAGCACTGCTCTCACTCTAAAGCCAAAACAGATCACTGCACCAGCTACTAGGAAGAAAAATAAGTGTCCCGGCTGAAACCAGGACAGTGAGATTCACTTATTCTCTGAATACTGGGTTGCATGCAGACCAGCCTTGCCAGGGAAGCTTCTGGAGTAATCTGCAAGGCCTGGAACAGCTGTTTTCTGAGGAAAATGAAGGACAAAACAGGGATTAGGGACTGTAAGTAGCAAACAAGCAAAGTGGCTCTTGGAAGCAAAAAGCCCACTATGACTTCCTGTGTATCTCCTAGGAGACAATCACAGCTCCTTTTGAAATGCACGGGTATTCTCAACCTCAAAATGTTTGTGAAGGAGCCATGGATATCATCTTTCCAGTGTCTCAGTTTTCTTCCCAGTCCTACCTGTAATTGTCTGCTGCTCATTTATCAAATCCCACAAGGAGGAAAGGTAGCTTTGTTGTCTTCCATATCTGAAGTACTGCAGCTGATTGCACTCTTCCTATCCATCACCTATCACAGGTCTTCTGAGCCAAGGCACCAGGCAGTTCAGAAGTGGCTCAGCCACACAACCTCTGCCTGAGTTGTCTGGGGCTTGTAGGAGACCATACAGGACAGCTCAGTTCTGCAACAAGGTGTGCTGTTACAGGTTTGTCACTTCTCAATTCACCCTGACAAAAACCAGACCCACACTGGTTCAGCGGCCAGGCAGTCATTTTGTTCTCATTGTCCTGAAACACAAATGAAAACTTGGTCACGTGGTGCAGCACCTTTGCTGAGGCTGTTTGTCGAGTGGGCAACTTAGGGAAAAGACTGCTGCCTCCTTTGCCAGAGTAATCCACAGTGGGAAGGAGCTGCTGCTCTCCAATATGCAGGGCAAGCAACAGCAGTCCAAACATGCTGTACTGAGAGATCCCAGATGACATGCATAGAGTGTGCAGCAGCAAAGGACATGTCACATTCAGGTGGCATTGAAATATATTATTTCATATGTTCATGTTCCCTCCAAAAATCTCAGACATTTGCCTGAACAATTAGTAATAGCCTAGTGATACCTAGAGTTTCCATTCTACACATCCTTCTGCTCTCCAGCTCGGGTACACATTTTCCAGGCATGTCAGATTTTATGTACCCTGTGGCCCTTCCAGCTTATTAAAGGAATGGGTTAAACAGAAAGGATGTCATGACTGGCTACTTTCTTTCTACCTGAATTTACATTCCCTATTAGCAACATTGCCCTTTTTATTAAACCATTGATATACACATATAAATTTATCCAGTACAGTAACATTTTGTACATATTATGATTATATCATATGAAAACATTAAATACTAATAAAGAACCTTATATTTGACTGGTTGATTGCTTGCTTGATCTGAATTGATTCTTAGACCTATCACTTAACTAAGGTTGGAAGATATCAAAAACTATGTGGTCTGAGATGATTTCTCTCTTGCTTTTAACCAAAGTAAAATTTAAAAAATAATTAAAA